AGATGAATTTACATAAAATTGCCTTGCCCCAGTATAAATTTGAGGATCATAGAAACACTTTGCTTTGTGACAATGTCAGTTTATCTCTAACAGTTACTGATTCGTAAGGAACTGTCCTCTTATCCTGCCTGTTTCTTTCATGACTGAAATCTGGGCTCTCTCTTGTGAAGTTTACTAAGTTGCTGTTCTGCATCTCAGTATTTCAGATAGCTAATTAATAAAGAAAATGATCTCAGTCTTCCTTGCCTAGCTTGGTGCTGCTGAGCTATATTGGAACTACGACTCCCAGAATTCCACAATGGCTGGAATTTGGGGGTGCTATCACAGCACCGTTGGAGGGTTCCAAGTTGGGGAATGTTTTTCCAGGTACTACCTGTGGGTCCCCCCTACCCCCAAACTTTACGTTCTAAGATTCCTTCTGAAAGAAATGTTCTTAGGATCTTCCTGTTTTATCCAATCCAAATCCAAATGGATTTCTACTCAGACAGAACTTCCCATTGATCTCCTTTCTTTACATACCCATAAAATCTGCTCTAAAAGCTCTGTTCAGTCTGGAGTTCAGATACAAATGGACATCACTGGATATAAACTCTGTACAGTTGATCTTGTTACCTTTTAACATTTATCCCAAGAACCCTTCTGTAGGACTTGAGGAAGTGTTCCAGGGAGGGTTTTCGGTTTACCCTCCAAAATTGTCCTCTAAGCACTTTGGGTTTGTCAGTTACGAGCATGCTCAATGCAGTACTCAGAATATGTGGGCAAATTATATCGCAGGGCTTACTTTATGCTATCTAGTCCAAATCAGTTGGGTTGCTTTTTAGATTTCTTTCCAAGTAATTATATAGAAGGGTAATGTTTTCTCAATATGGCCCCTGTTTTAACTTACGTTATTCTTTTAAAATAGGAGCAGCTTTGCCACAGTATATACCAGAAAAGAATACGGTTAAATTCATTTTTATGTGGTGTCTGGAAATCAGAGCAGTTCCCAAAAAGGTATTTCTCCCATTTACTTTTTCATAAGGTCATTAACTGTAATTCTTGGTACACAGCAAGATTCACTTTTGAGTCTAGACCAATTGCCATTTTAGTTTGGTTTGTCTCTCGTGTTGCAATTGTAGTGTCTGGTATTTCAAATTAAATGTCTTAAACAGCTGATGTGTTGCTAACTTCCTTGTCTAGCCAAATTGATTATTCCTAATGTTGAGCAAAATGCATCCTCATCATTCTTTCCCTTTTTACTTTTCTTATCTTTGATGAGCAATACAGTAACTGTATAAACACTTGCATAAACTAACTGAAATGATTTTGTACCACTTCAGGGTCAGGAAATATTTCTGTGAACATTTACAGAAGAGAAAAGACTTGTCTCTGATTTGCAATGAATAAAATCACTTTTGTGGGGCTGATAGTAATAATTGAATAATTATTATATACTGATATCATTATTGTTTGAATAATGCTGTTTTTGTGTGTGCATATTATATTGCTTTTTCAATTAAATAAGCTGAGTCTGAATATCCAGTGTTTAAATTGTATGTGTCTGCAGATGAACATTGGGGTATTTTTTCAGTATAATCCACTAGATGTCATCATTTAACAATTTATGGAGACTTCTATTAACTGTCTGTGTTTCTCAACTCGTTTACATTTTATATATTTATAAAAACACAATGTATATTAAATTGTGCTATTTATTTTTCATTTATTTTTATACAGTTCTATAGATTTTATGTCATTTATTAGTGTTAAAAATTTGGGTTACTTCAAACCCAATTCATATCTGTTTGCTTTTGGTTTAGGGACCCGTTTATTATGAATTAGCTTTATTTATGAAATTGGCCACTTTGATTTGTTCAACTATTCATGATAACAATTTCTTGGCTTAATGCTTTGTGTGAAACATACTTTGTATGCAAAATGCTGGGGCAAAGCATTTGGTCAGTCTAATAAAGAGACATAAACAATTGGCTGTGGTGAGTAGAAATTCTCTCTGCATGAACCAGCAGGAAAGCTTAACAAAATTAGCTTTGTTTGCCATTTAGACCACAGATAACTGATGTAATGAGCAAGAAGACTATTTTTTTAAAAAGTGTGGGTTAGTTTTGCTAGCTTATGTTCAAGGCTGGATTATTTATTTATTCAATAATTTATTTATTTATTAGGCATTTCTGCGCTCTTTGGTAGAATACACCACTTCCATTAGTGAAAAAAGAAGACTTCAAGAATTGTGTAGCAAGCAAGGATCCTTGGATTATAACACTTTCATAAGGGATCCTAGTGTTAGCTTATTAGATTTGCTCCGTGTTTTCCCAACTTGCAAGCCTCCACTTAATCTTTTGATTGGTGAGTAGTTTTATAGAATGTTTCAACTACAGAAAAGAAGATACCATAAATATAGAAGTATTGAAATGTATCACATTTACCAGTTGCGATAACAGAGTTATTTATTAACGTGTGTAAAATATTACAACACTTTCACCTGTCCAAACTGGTACCTACGAAGAAAGCAAGATACCAGCTATCCCTTGCTGGGTGGGTTTTTTTTTTCTCTCAGCTTCATTACTGCTTCTGAATATTGAAATTACAGGACATATGGAAATGCAATTTTTATCTTTAACATCTATGGCATTTGTGTTGTTTATGTACAATATTTAGAAGTGTGATATGCTGCCCACTCTTCAAACAAGTTTAATTGAATGACCCTAATAATAAGTTTTACACTATGACTTGTCCTGCTGTATGAGTTATATCTTAAGTTGTACGTGTGGAACTAAGCAACAGAGCTATGAATTAGAAAGTCCCCATTTCAGGTCTTGCCTCTGTCATAAATTTAGTGAGTGAATTAGGCCAATTCCTGTCTTTAAGCCTTACCCTATACTCCTTTTGCAATGTTTGTTTGTTTGTTTGTTTACTTAAGATTTTTATAGACCACCTGCACTCATAGGGGCTACAATCAAAACAGAAAAGAACAAAATGAACAAACAATTCATAAGCTAACTAATTAAAGGCAACCTTTCTATTGTCAGTGCTCAAATGTCCTCCAGAAAAATAAGGTCTTCACTGCCTTCTGAAGAACAGTTCTACCAAATCCCAACCTTTTCAGGCAGTCCAGAAGTTAGTTGGTTGTATGGAAGCCGCCCAACTCGAGAATGACTCTGGAGTTGCCTTGTGAATGATATTGAAGGCCGCCAGAAGATCTAATAGGATCAGGAAGGTTGCTCTCTCTATATACAGGTCTTGATAAAAATCATCCACCAGGGTGACAGTGCCATTTCTGTGCTGACTGTAAATGGTCCAGGAAATCCACTTCCTTTAGAACTGTCCCTCTGTAACCAGAGGCACCTGCAAGATGTGATGTTTTTAGCAAAGGGACTGCAACTGTTGCGTTGTTGCAGTACAAATTCTCTCCTTTCATACGTGCATATTCAGTGTTATGATACCTATAAAAAAGAAGCCTTTAGCACAACCCTTGTTTCCTGCTTGACAACTCTCCTACAGACCCCTCTGCCTACCACAGAATATTAGAGATCAGCCAGTACTTGTCCCAATCAAGCAATATCTCTTCAGGAGGGCATACATCACTGCTTCCTTCACTATGTCTGACACCACCTCTTTCTTAAACACAAATTAACTGTCTCTCAAATCCAGCAACCCATGCCCTGCCCAACTGCATGAGTTTAAATCAAGCTTAGAGATGGTGGAGTTATTGTTTTGTTTCTGTAAATAGATGAGAATGGACCCAAGGCTAAAACTATACTCACGAGTTTGTTCCTTTTCAGAACATCTTCCAAAGTTGCAAGCCAGACCCTATTCAGTTGCAAGGTAATGTAATTACATTTTAATTGGGAACTGATAGTATTTAAATCTATTTGTTTAAATGGATCCAATCCTTTTATGGTTGGAGAAGATAATTGAGATGTTAAATTGA